AAAAAAAAAAAAAAAATTAGCTGGGCATGTTGGTGCAGGCTTGTAATCCCAGCTACTCGGGAGGCTGAGTTGGGAAGATCGCCTGAATGAACCTCATGCCTCAGAGGCAGAGGTTGCAGTGAGGTGGAGGTTGCAGTGAGCCAAGATCATGCTAGTGCACTCCAGCCTGGGAGACTGCATCTGAAAAAAGGAAAATAAACGAAGTAAAGATATTTATCAGAACTGTTACAGGAAGGTGTATTTTGTAGCTATTTAAGGCGGGGTGCTGTAGTGCCTGCATGTAGTCCCAGGTATTCGGGAAGATTGCTTGAGTCCAACTTGGGCAACATTGCGAGACCCTATCTAAAATATGATAATAATAATAATATATGGCCAGTCGGGTGGCTCACGCTTGTAATCCCAGCACTTTGGGAGGCTGAGGCGGGCAGATCACTGGAGGCCAGGAGTTCAAGACAGGCCCAGCCAACATGGTGAAACCCTGTCTCTACTGAAAATACGCAGAATTAGCCGGATGTGGTGGCGAGGCCTGAGAATTACTTGAACCCGGGAGGTGGAGGTTGCAGTGAGACAAGATTGTGCCATTGCACCCCAGCCTGGGTGACAGAGCGAGACACTGTCTAAAAAAGTAAATTAATAAGTGATTATAATAATATCTCTGAGCTTTTTATACCTGGAAATAGTGGCAGCTGATACTGTTGAGGAGAAAGGTGGAGAAAGATTGCCAGGGGGACCTGCTTAAGCGTTATTACTACTATTACTCTAGTCTATGTATGAGTCAGAAACCTTGGAATTTGGAATTTGTAAAATGGTAATGGTTAACTTGAATCTCAGAGGACAGTTGAGAAGCAAAAGGATGCCAAAATAAAACCACAAGTATGAAGAAATTAAAGGCAACAAATGAGAAGATAGGCATTGTAATGTACAATTATCATCTTTAAGTTTTAAAATAATCTTGTAAAATAGATATCCCCACACTACAGATGTGAAACTGAAGCTCAGAAATGTCAGCAACTTCCCATAAACAGTAAATGTATAACATAGGACTAGGCTTACTAAAGACCATGCGTGTTTTAACATAGCACTCTGGGTGCTGCAAATAAAATACAGCCATTGGCCAAGGCAGTGTCATTGAAACATGTAACTTTTCTCTTTGAAAACCTATAACTGTTAGCATCATAGCCATCATAGTCCTTGATCTTTTTTGTCAACAGAGGCTAATTGGCCACCCAGAGATGTTCATAATTACACATGTAACAAAACATCAATGCCAACCTGGGCGTTATGCACAGTCCCTGTCTCATATCTGTAATAGAGGTCCTGGGGCTCTGTTATATCCAATTGTTGACTGAGGGAAAGTGCCATTTCTCAACCTTGCCTGAGTAGGCAGGAAAAGTTTCATAAGTGATCCTTGAACAAATTCATAGTTTGCCTGGCCAGCAAGTGGGTGGCAGGAATTATAGGCAGAGGGAACGATCTTGTGATTGTTTAAGAAGTTGATAGTATTTTAGTATTGTTACAGGGTAGGATATTTGAGAATGGGGAAGAAAAGAGAGAAAAGGCTGAAGAAGTAGGCAGGAACTAGAACACGAAAGGTCTTGCATGACACTATAAGAAGTGTAGGCCGGCGCGGTGGCTCAAGCCTGTAATCCCAGCACTTTGGGCGGCCCGAGACGCGGCGGATTCATGAGGGTCAGTAAGATCGCAGACCATCTTGGCTAAGCCACGGTGAAACCCCAGTCTCTAACTAAAAAATACAAAAAAAAAAAAAAACTAGCCGGCGCGAGGTGCGGGCGCCTGCTATCCCAGCTTACCTCCGGAGGCTGAGCGCAGGAGACAATGGCGTGAACCCGCGGAGGCGGAGCTTGCAGTGAGTGGAGATCGCCACTGCACTCCACGCCCTGGGCGGCAGAGCAGACTTGTCTCAAAAAAAAAAAAAAAAAAGAAGTGTAGCTTTTATAAAAACGTATCAGCAATGGTGGAGCCATTGAAAATTCTTAATTAGTGGAATAATGAAAACACGATGAAGCCACGCATGGTGGTGCACCTGTAATCCTACCTAATTGGGAGGCCTAGGCAGGAGGGTTGCCTGAGCCCAGGAGTTTGAGGTGCAGTGAACTGTGACTGTACCATCGCACTGCAGCCTGGCAACAGAACAAGATCCCATCTCTTTAAAAAGGAAAGAAAGAAAAAAAAGAAACGCATTGGTAATGGTACAAAACAGATGTATAGACCAAGACAGAACAGAGGCTCAGAAATAATGTCACACGTCTACAACCATCTGATCTTTGACAAACCTGACAAAAACAAGCATAGGGAGAGGATTCCCTGTTACAGTAAAATCGGTGTTGGGAAACTGGCTAGCTATGTTCAGAGAAAATTCGGACCCTTCCTTACACCCTATACAAAATTAACTTCAAGATGCATTAAAGGCCGGGCACGGTGGCTCACGCCTGTACTCAGACTTGGTGGGGCTACGGCACGGCAGATCACAGGGGTCAGGAATTGAGACCATCCTCGGCTAACACAGTGAAACCCTGTCTCTACTAAATACAAAAACAAAATTAGCGCTGGTTGTGGTGGCGGGGCACCTGTAGTCAGCTACTCATGGAGCTGAGGCGGGAGAATGGCATGGAACCGGGGCGAGCTTGCGTGATCCAGGATCGCGCCCACTCACACTCCAACTCCAGCTGGGCGAGCAGAGCGACGACCTCCATCTTCAAAAAAAAACACAAAAGAAAAAAAAAACAAGATGGGTTAACGGCTTAAATGTACAGACCTAAAACCCATAAAATTCATAGAGAAAAACCTAGGCAAATACCATAGGATACAGGCATAGGCAAAGACTTTATGACTAAAACACCAAAAAGCAATGGCAACAAAAGCCAAAATTGACAATATGGGATCTAATTAAACTAGTGAGCTTCTGCACAGCAAAAGAAACTACTCATCAGCGTACAGGCAACCTACAGAATGGGAGAAAATTTTTACAATCTATCCATCTGACAAAAGGGCTAATATCCAGAATCTACAAGGAACTTACAATCAAATTTACAAGAAAAAAAAAAACCCATCAAAAGTGGGCTGAAGGATATACCACGACACTTCTCAAATAAAGAAATTTATGCAGACCAAGAAACATAAGAAAAAAACAAGCTCCATCATCACTGGTCATTAGAGAATTGCCAATCAAAACCACAATGAGATATCCATCTCAAGCCAGTTTAGAATGCCGATCATTAAGAAGTCATGCAAACAACAGATGCTGGAGAGGATGTGGAGAGAGTAGGAAAGTCTTTTACAACTGTTGGTTGGGAGTGTAATAGCTTAACCATTGTGGAGACAGTGTGGCGATTCCTCAAAGGTCTCAGAACCAGAAAATACCATTGACCCAGCAATCCAGTTCCTGGGTATTATACCAACAGAGGATATAAAATCATTCTACTATAAAGACACATGCAACACGTATGTTTTATTGCAGCACTATTCACAATCGCAAAGACTTGGAACCCACCCAAATGCCCATCAATGATAGACTGGATAA